CCCCTCCCTGGATGACGTAAGCAGCATTAGGAAATGAGTTTGCATAACCCACCCCCGTCTGAGAGCACCTGGGACTCTCCAGGGACACCTGGAGACTGAATTTCCTAAGAGCCCTGCCTGGCAGTGCCTGCTGGGAGAAAGCCCAGTCGTCTGATGCGTCAGACTGTCTGCTATGCCAGCTGACAAAGTGTGTCCACTTTCAAGTGCACACACAGAACCACAGTCCATTTGCACAGGCTGACCTTGAGGCCCAGCTTTGGCTTCTAGCCACATGCGGTTCCTTGGCCTGCGGCCATCTGACCTCACTGTGTCATGCTCTGCTCGGGCCCAGCCTTACCTGACCGAGTCCCCCCTTCCCAGCACTGGTGCCCCGTGCACTGCACTCAGCCCGGGCCGGTAACACACTGCACATTCTCACTCCAGTCTCACCTGTGAGAACCCAGCTTGTGCCAGACACTCCCCTCTCCCCACGGGTCCCCTTGCCTTTCCTGTCCCCCTTCCTTCACGTCTCAGCCTCCACCCTTCCCGAGGGCAAGATGTGTGTCACTCAGCATAGCACAATGCTCAAAGCTTCTCTCTAGTCCATCTTCTGTGCCAGGACAGGGTTGATTGGCGCATTCTTCCGCCTGGGGTAACAGACTATATTCTGTCCCTGTCCCCCGTTGTCATGTGACATGGCAGGGACTCACAGCACATCAGGTAAACAGAGAGAGTGAACAGGACCCCTGCCAAGTCGGGCAGACCCCAGCCCCTCGATAAAGCCAGCCTCTCCCGCTACAGGGCTTCATGACGCAGAACACCGCCAAGCAGAACGAGCACTGTCTTAAGAACTTCGACCTCACGGAGTACCGCCAGGTGCTGAGCGACCTTTCCATCCAGATCTACCAGCAGCTCATTAAAATCGCCGAGGGCGTGCTGCAGCCCATGATCGGTAAGCTGGCAGCCGCTCTCCCGGGCTCACCACGGGTCTGAGGGGAGGGGGAGGTGTGGGGAGCCCTGCCTACCCTTAGGGAACTGGGTCTACTGGGCACAGCCCCCAAAAACCAGGACCGCCCAGTGAGGGCAGCTGCGAGGAGTGTGCCGCCTGCTCGAGAGGAGCTACGACATTGCCAACGCCTTCCCATCGGAGTCCATAGTGCCGGGGTGGAAAATATACATCGTTTCCCCTTATCTCTTCTTCTGTAGCACATGGTGTTATTCTTCCCCAAACAAATTTCCATAGGTCATAAATATAAGTTCAAAAGGCACAAATACATATGCTGTAAAGATATAGAATCCTCTTGCCCATAGAGATGCTTAATGTATGGGGAAAGGAAAGCATTAACTGTGTTCGTGTGAAAGAAAGCAGTGGTGAGCGCTCATGCAGCAACTGCGATTGAACACCCACTCTGTCCAGGGCAGTGCACCTGGGCATTTAACATGACACCCGAATTTAAAAAAAAAAAAAAAAAAAGCAGTTCTTTAAGGGAAAAGAATGACACTCGCTGTCCCATGCGGCTGGGGTGGAAATGGTCCCCGGGACCTACATGTCATGCTTTCCCCAGGTTCTTACAACATAAGTAGGTTCGAGGTGAATTCCAAGTAGGACAGAGTCCTCCATGCCGTCCAGAAGTATATCCCTGGATAAGGTCACTCTGAAGTCGCCCTCCTGTCTGAAATCTGCCCGTGAGGCACAGTGTGTTCTCACCGGACACTGGGAGAACGGGAATACCTCATGACTCAGGGTTACGTGACGGCCAGCAGCACCAGTTCTGGAGTCGGACAGGCCTGGCTTCAACCCCTGGCCCTGCCACTTCCTGGCAGTGTGGCCTCCGTACACTTCGGCTTCCTCAGCAAATAGGTAGCTGGGAGATGAAGAGAAACCCTGACCCTCAAGTACCCGGCTCGCAGTTGAGTGCTGTGCAATAGACGGGACCCTATGGTCTGCGTGTCGGTGGCTCAGGTGGAGGAGCTGTTTGGCCACCGGCAGGATCTCTGGGTCCAGGGCCAGGACGACACCCCCGTTGCTCACTTCTCAAACCTGGGACCCTTCACACAGAACCCAGTGCAGGAACAGAAGCAAGTTGGTACATGCCCATCCCCTCTGTCCCGTCCCCAGTAAATGTCAGTGAAAAGGTGGCCAACGGCTCCCTTATTCCAGAGAGACCGACACCTTAGAAATGTCTGTGCTGATGCTGTGGGTTGTGGGCATGGGGCCACTATACCCTGTGGTGGGTACCACTGCCACGGGCCTGGGTGCTAGAGGGCTGAATGGCCCGGACGCCAGATCTTGGGGGGTCTCGGGGGGCGGGCCGGCCTCTGTCATGCGCTCTCCTTGCAGTTTCGGCCATGTTGGAAAACGAGAGCATCCAGGGCCTGTCGGGGGTGAAGCCCACGGGCTACCGGAAGCGCTCGTCCAGCATGGCGGACGGGGACCACGCCTACTGCCTGGAAGCCGTCATCCGCCAGATGAGCGCCTTTCACACGGTCATGTGCGACCAGGGCCTGGACCCCGAGATCATCCTGCAGGTCTTCAAGCAGCTCTTCTACATGATCACGGCCGTGACGCTCAACAACCTGCTCCTGCGGAAGGACGTGTGCTCCTGGAGCACAGGCATGCAGCTCAGGTGGGAGCCGGCCCGGGGTCAGAGCCCAGACTCCTCTCTGCAAGTGACACCCACGTCCACCGGGCAGTCCTGTCCCAGTCAGCGTGCCCCTCACACCCCTCGCCTCTCATGTGCTGGTGAAATTCATCCAACACTGAGATGGTGACTTGGTAAACAAATTGGTTCAAAGCTTAAAGACATTGACATACTCTCACTGAAAGACTAAAGACAGTGTGGGTAGGTCCGAGAGAAAAATCAATGCGGTAAGTGCCAGGAAGGGTCACACAGAAGTGTAAGCACAGCGTGGTCCAAAAATAGGTCTACAGTGGTTCGTGTGGAAAATACAATAACTAGTGAATAATAATACAAGAATAAACTCTGTGTTTCAGGTACTCACAACTGTAAACCTCCTTTTGCTCCACCCTGTGTGTTTGTTAATATTAAATACTAAAGGCCCTGTGCATGAAATTTGTACACTGGGGGAGAGGGGGTCCCTCAGCCCGGCCTGTGTCCTCTTGCAGTCCAGGACCCCTTGGGGGATGTCCGCCTGCCGGCTTAGGCCTAAGCCTGCAGCCGGAGATCCCTCTCACAATCCTGGACTCTTCGCTCCTTACCACCCGCCTGCTCACTGCTCTTTAGTGCTGCCACAGAGGCGGGAGAGGCTCCTGCCACTGCGGCTGCACTAGCCAGCCGTCAGCCCGGCTTCTGGCTGAGCAGCGCTCCCCCTGTGGGAGCACACTGACCACCATGGGGCAGCTCCTGCATTGAGTGTCTGCCACCTGGTGGTCAGTGCCCATCATAGTGACCGGTTGTTCTGGTCATTCTGCCATAATGGTTGCTTGGGCTTTTAGTATATTAATTAGTTGTTTTAATTCAGTATATTTGATGCCTCTTTTCCCCATTAACTTATACAGCCCCTCTAGGTACTTCATGTTTTGTTTTAGGCACCTATCCATTCAACACAGTTAGAGTGCCAGGTGCTTTTCAAGCTTTGGCCCACGTGGGACAATTACAGTGAGGAGACTGATAACCGTAGTGGGTAGTGCTGAGGCTGCAGAGTACACACTGCAGGTGTGCTCATCCTGAATGAGGAGGGCCGCTTAGCTTACCGCACCCACTTTTACCTCCAAGGTACAACATAAGTCAACTGGAGGAGTGGCTTCGAGGGAGAAACCTTCACCAGAGTGGAGCCGTTCAAACCATGGAGCCCCTGATCCAAGCAGCCCAGCTCTTGCAGTTAAAGAAGAAAACGCCTGAGGACGCTGAGGCCATCTGCTCCCTGAGCACCTCCCTCAGCACCCAGCAGGTACGGCCACTGCCCCCCCCCCACTCCCACCCCTGCACACCCGTCAGGCAGCCACTCAGAGCCTGCCCAGCTGCATGCCAAGTCTGTTCTTGCCAGTGGGCGGCTGTTTTTCAGGGTTTCACTTCCAGTCTTTCTATCCCCTAATGATACCGGCCCTCGGGGAGCCAAAGAGTACTTTGGTCTGTGAAACGAGATGCCACTGCTTCCCACTGACTGCTTCCTCTTGTATACTTAGATGAGGTAGTAATTGCACAAACATCAACCTGAAGTACAAACTTTTTAAAAACACTCACACTGAAGTCTGGGATGTTTCTCACCTAGAAATTTAATTTTTTTTTTAAATTGGCAGCATCAGGCATTTGGCACTAAATAAATTGTTTTCTTACAAATTATAATTTCATTATGCTCATGCTTTCATTTAGAATCCATTTACATGTTTTAAATAAAATCATTAAGAACCCAGAGGCATTTAAGTGTTCCTTTCTTCCCCCTCCCCCCCAAAAATAGTATTTATGCTGGGACGGGGTTGCAGAGCTATTACTAGTGTATGAAAAGATAAGTCCTGTCCACACACAGGGGGACCCCACCCTTCCTCAAAATGAGACCAAGAAAATGGGACTTCCTGAATTAAATCATGTACCTTCTCCCTGCTCAGCACCTAAAGAACAGCAAAATCCAAACTAAGTAAATAATTCCTTTACCTCTTCCATGAACTACTAAAAGATGAAATAGCAAGCTCTTCAGAAAACTGCTTCCCTTCTATAAATGCACTGAAATTTTTCAAACTTTTTTCCTCCCTTTTAAATATATCAAGCTTATGTCCAAAACGCAACTACCATTGATTGGCACTGGGACATGCTACTTCCACCAAACAATTGATAGGCAGCCAAAGGTCATCCTCCATTCAAATAAGGAAAAAATCTGTTCCTTTATAAGTGATTTGGGGGGTGGGGGGAGGGAGGGGTGGCTAAACAAGACCTTTGTTTCCTAAGGTAAGATCCCCAGTACTCTTTTGAAGAAACCCTTAAATTATGAGTAGATAAGAGGCTGAGGATTTCAGGTTTCCGAAAATCCTCATGTTATAAGCCATAGAGCAGAGGGGAGGGGCTGGAGGAGATGGGATTGTGGTGAGAAGGCTCAGACCTACCAGGCAAGGTTCGGAACTCCTTCACTAACGGTGACTCCGGCCGCGCTCTGTTGTGGGCCTGTCTACAGAGGACTGGACTCATTCGTGTCCATGTCACGGTCCTTAACATTCAAGTTTCCTTATGTTCATTTAGCTCTCCGCTAACCGTTTTTTATTCCAACAGATTGTCAAAATTCTAAATCTTTATACTCCCTTGAATGAGTTTGAAGAACGAGTAACAGTGGGCTTCATACGCACGATCCAGGTGAGTTTTTAAATAATCAATTTTATAAACTCTTAGTCTAAAACTAATAAAGGAAATTGAAACTTTAGATATTTTAACCTTCCCTTTATTAATAAAATACTGGTTACATTATATGACAAAAGGCCTTACGTTCTTTAGGTAAATATAAACATGAACCACATCACTCATGAAAAACTTATTATATACACAGAAGACTGAACTTTTTTTTTTTTTTTTAATATATTTTATTGATTTTTTACAGAGAGGAAGGGAGAGAGACAGAGAGTCAGAAACATCGATGAGCGAGAAACATCGATCAGCTGCCTCCTGCACACTCCCCACTGGGGATGTGCCCGCAACCCAGGCACATGCCCTTGACCGGAATCGAACCTAGGACCCTTCAGTCCGCAGGCTGACGCTCTATCCACTGAGCCAAACCGGCCTCGGCCAGAAGACTGAACTTTTATAATCTCTGCCTCTCAGATTTTAGACACAGTCTAAGCATTCTTTCATTCGCCAACAGCATGTTTCCGAACTATAGTGCCAAGTGACATTAACAAAGCGAGCAGAAGGCTACCAACCCTATTCACGAATGGAACTAGAAATGTTCTTTTAAGAGAACAATTTGAGCTCTTCAGTCTTTCCTGTAAGGCTTATAACATTTGCCCTTAGGAATATGCTCAAAAGAAAACAGCAGGGAAATGGTTATTTAATCGGCCTTTAAATGATGGGATTTCTCACGTAAAGACGAGCTTCCTAAAGCTGAGCCCTGGGTGATTCTGGCTGAGTGCCTAACCTGTGGTGTGACTGTAGCTGATGGCATCCGAATGATGACACATATCAAGATTACACAGTGAACACTTCTCCGCTGTCTGTGGGAAACACCTCTTCAGCCAGTGAATTCGTGGCACACGAAACAAGGATAAAGAGAAATGGGGAAAGTGGTCAGGGCAGGGACAGGGAAGACGGATGAATGACTTTTAGCATGGTGCCTGAGTGGAGGATGGAGGCTGAAGGTCAAGGGAGGGAGGCCAAGTCAGATCAAAGGTTGTTCCCCACGTGCAGTGGGGAAAAGGCAGTGAGTTAGTAAAGATCCGGGCACAGAGAGAAGTGGGCAGGGACTCGCCACCGTGGCCACCCCAGCAGGCAGGGGCACTGATGGTGAGTCCCGTCACTAGGACAAATGTGCAGGTCACCGCTGAAAGGGGAGGAGGAGTTGGATGACAGAGAAGAAGCCACTGAAATATCTGACCCACTACTGATTTTTACACTTTACACAAACCAAAGTGCAAGGTTAGAAAGTCTTCATTGTTTTGAAAGGAACTGCTTATGAACTTACCAGGGCCCTGTTTACAAGAACAGAATTCAGACCAAAGGTGAAAGATTATGTGCCAAGTCAGACTTTGGGTTTGAATGGAGGACGGGGGAGAAAGGTACCTGGAGGTTGGTCGGATATTCTCTGAAGATATATGCACTCAGATTCCGAGTCTTCCTCAGCAGTCAAGTTCAGTATTTGGCAGTTCTATCAGAAACAAATTCTGTGCCCTGACCAGGTGGCTTGGTTGGTTTGAGCACTGTCCTATCCACCAAAAGGTTGCAGGTTCAATCCCCAGTCAGAGCGCGTACTGGAGGCAACTGATGGATGTTTCTCTTTCTGTCTCTCTCTCTCTCTCTCTCTCTCTCTCTCTCTCTCTCTCTCTCTCTCTCATCAATATAAACATATCCACTGGTGAGGATTTAAAAATTTGTTTGTTTTTCCAGCTATAGTTTTATGTTTTATTGCTCCCCACAGTACTCAGAGGAAATGGTGGACTAATCCACACTATCCTTCTATGTTTGTGCATGCCTTAGGTAGGATAAACACAAGTTGTCATTAAAGCAAACCATTTGCTAGGGCAGTATGGGCAGACTATGTAAACCTTTGAAAATGTTCATTTGAGGGGCTTGTTAAACTCATAAAGGATTCACAAAAGGGTTCCTGTGAAATGACGACAGGTACTTTGTGAATTTTAAATAATTAAATGTATACACACCTTTTGCTGCTGAGTTGTAATAACTTACATACGTTAGCTTTGTCCCATTTTTATACTGTCCTCTCACACCTTCACAATTTCTCCACGCCCTTTCATAGCAGAGCCTACTGATACATCTGACTGATGGGGGAACATATTGGTAGGTGTTGTAAGTATTTTACATGGTCTTGTCCTTTCCCTCAGGCACAACTTCAAGATCGGAATGACCCTCAGCAACTGCTGTTGGACTACAAGCACATGTTTCCCGTTCTGTTCCCCTTTAACCCGTCTGCCCTGACTATGGACTCCATCCACATCCCAGCGTGTCTCAATCTTGAGTTCCTCACTGAAGTCTGAACAACGCGCATTGCCAGCCTGGCTGGATTGGCAGCGAGAGCAAGAAGACGTATACAGTCAAGTGGCTTGAAGGGTCTGTTCAGGCTTTAAAAGTGGATCAAATCAGACACGGAGAGGATGTGCCGAGTGCTGCACCATAAGAAGGAGAACACAGCTGTCATTATTTTTTGTGCCTACTGCTCAGAATAAAAACACTTGAAGTATGGGAGATTTTTTGAAGTACGATTTCAGAATAAAGTTCACATTAGCATTTATACCACCAAGCAAAGCAGTCCCCGTGGCCATAAAAAAGGGGCCAGGCTACAAAATGGAAACTGCCTTCTTTTGATCTCTGCATATAACTGGAGAGTGTCCAAAATAAAATATTAAAACTACGTGAGTCACATAAATGGCCTGACACTGTCATATAGCGTGACGTCTCCCCAGGGTGACAAGCTATAGGTGTGGATGAGCTTATGGGGAAATGTTTTGAGAACAGGAATACGGGCCTGGGCCTTCTGAGAAGTTTCCCAAAGATATTTTTTAATGCCTGGTGATGCAGAGACAATGGTGTAACTGACCTCCGGACCAGACATTTTGAGTATTGGTTTCTGAAGCAAAATTAGATGAGGCAGTTCCTCATGTGCTCAACCGCTTTTGTGCAGTCCTGAGTCTATTGGAATTATGTTAAAAGGGCTGCTGTCCCAAACTAAGGATGTAAGCAAGGGGGAAAGACGTTCCCAATGCTAGTCCATGTACTTACTGAGTCAACCAAAACCTATATAAGCGAAAAGTTAGAAAAGAGTAGCAACTCTTTTATTTACAGATTAAGAACCAAACAAGTCAATGTGAAAGCCTTTAATCCCTTTCTGCCACGAAACCTCCAATGAGAACATCACAGAACGCACTGGTGATTCCAGATAACCCAAATAATACGGGAAAGCAAACCATCTCGAGGATCAAGTTGTTTGAAAAATGTTTGTAAAAATCAGTTCAAGAACTAAGTTATACAAAAGATCTTGGGGGTATTTTTTTTGTAAGTATTCTTTTAAAAGAGAGAATAACTTAAGCCAACTTTCTCTTTTCATGTTATTTTCAAATTTGCCACATAAAAATCATAAATATCTCTGCTCTGAAATAAAGATTAAAAGAGTATTTGATGATATTACAACAGATTTTATATGTTTGCTGCTTTCACAAATTTGTCGTCATCTCTTCAAAATCAGGCATTCAGTTAGAAAACCCTACATATATTCTTTACACCCGTGTTTTTACTATTTGTTCCATATTTCTGGTGAGAACAGTATGCTGTTTTCATGATAAGAACAGATGTTGTTTACAAATCATAGAGCCTCCATATTGAGTCAAGATAAGATTTCTCCATGAAATACACATAGAACACCCTGCCACACACCCACCGCTAACGCAGCCACTCATCTTAAAAGGCTCTTGGAAACACAACACACACCAAGCCCTAACCAATCAATCTGAGTACTGTGCTCTTACAGCTCAGCTTCCTCGGTCATTCTCCATGCCCACTGGGCAGAACAAGGCATAGCACCTGGGCAAAGACTGCTGACCACCATGCCCAAATCTGTCACTGACCTCACCCCCTCTACTGCCACATTCAACATCCTGGCTGCTCTTGGGTGTCTACTAGTATGCAGAGCTGAGCCTCTTTCCCAACTCCATGACATCACCTGACATCCATGACACACACCCTTTGACACACACACACTGTGTTTGGAAGGCCAGTCTAAAACCAATTGGGTCCATGGCTCCCTTTTTAAAAATATGTTTATTAAGTATTAGAGGCCTGGTGCACAAAATTTGTGCACTGGAGGGGAGGTCCCTCAGCCTTGCCTGAGTCCTCTCGCAGTCCAGGAGCCCCCGGGGGATGTCCGACTGATGGTTTAGGCTCGCTCCCAGCAGTCGGACATCCTTAGCACTGCTGCAGAGGTGGGAGAGGCTCCCGCCACCGCCACTGCACTCGCCAGCCATGAGTCCAGCTCAGGGCTTCTGGCTGAGTGGCACTCCCCCTGTGGGAGCACCCTGACCACCAGGGGGTAGCTCCTGCATTAAGTGTCTGTCCCCTGATGGTCAGTGTGCGTCATAGCGACCAGTCATTCTGCCGTTGTGTCGATTTGCATATTAGCCTTTTATTATATAGGATAATTTACTTTTTACTGCAATGTGTTTAAAACTGAGTCTCTCCTATAAGGACTGTCCTTACTCTTCAAGATAACCAAAAATGCCTTGTCAGAGAGTCAAGGAGTTTGAAAGCAGTGACTCCATAAACACAATGGTTTACTGTCCTTACATTCTGACTTACACCCTCATTCTCTCCATCTCTTTGGGTCACTGCCTCTCTGCTGTCACTGGTTAATCACCAGGTGCCAACAACTCACTAAATGAAAGCTTGGCAATTAGAATAAATGGAAAACGTATGAACGGTCCTCTACTTAGCCGAAGAAATGGCAGATTTAGTTCTCTTCTTCCAAAACATAAAGGTGTTTCACTGAAACTAAATTTATATATACTTAAAAACAAATTGCCTTTTATAGACCACTAACAATAAAACAATATAGTAGTTGGTTACTTAATGTTTAGATCTGCCCTATTTAACTTAGCACTTAGAGACTGGAATAAGCATCTTTAGAGAAACTATAATCTTTTGTTAGTATTTATATTTTTTTGCATTTTTTAAAGTCATTTCAACTCAAACTTTTTCCAACTTCATGAAATCAGTATTTTTAATTTAAATAACTTAATTCAGCATAAAGGTTTGAACTCTGTTCTAGATATCTGTCTTTACTTTTTAATATTTATAATTTATTTGACACTTCTCACTACGTGCCTTTAGCAGTTACTAAGATAACTGACTTATCACTTAGTTCTCTGAAGTAAGTGTTGCTGTGGGAAGAACTTTAATGCCTGGCATAACATCATGGTGAAGTTTTGTCTTTTAAAACATTAGAAGCATTTTAAAGATTATTTAAGAATCAAGTATCTATACATTAAACAAGTTGTGCTTTAAGTATTATATGGGACGTACCCATTTACCTATAGTAGTGTGTGTTATGTACATACTAAAGGCCCGATGCATGAAATTTGTGCAAGGGGCTCGGCCCTCGCAGCCCCAGCTTCATCCGGAAGGTCATCAGGAATGGTCATTCTGCTGTTCAGATGACTGGTCTAATTAGCATATTACGCTTCCATTATTATAGGTTAACTAGAGGCCTGATGCACGAAGATTCGTGCAAGAATGGACCTTCCTTCCCCTGGCTGCCGGCACCGCCTCCACTCCAGACCCGGAGCCACCTTTCTGCGCTGCCCAGAGGCCTAGAGCGGCTGGGGCTGTGTAGAACGCCATGGCAATGACGCAAGCGTTCCACACCACCCCTGGCCACTCAGTGCCTGTGTATGCAAATTAACCCACCATCTTTGTTGGGTTAATTTGCATACTCCTGATTGGCTGGTGGGCGTTGCAAAGGTACAATCAATTTGCATCTTTCTCTTTTATTAGTGTAGACACTTGTTGCTGAAGTTGGCAAGCATATTACTGACATGCATTCTCCCTGTCCATCATATCTGCAGTTCCACATATGGTACCTGGCAAGCAGACTAGACCCAAAGGGAAAGACTTTTTTTCTCTTTTCATGGAGCACGTCAATAGGAGTTTCTTCTCTTGATTTTCCTATACTAAATTTTAAGGCTTTTGTAAAAAAAAAAAAAAAGAAGAAGAAAAAGTGACAAAACTAGGAACTTGGAAAATTTAGAAAGATAACACTGCTACCATCAATTCATCAAATATTTACTTAGAACATTAAATAATGTGTTAAGATTATAGTAACAAATAAATTAGAATCCATTTCTTTGGCATACAGTAAATTTAATCATTTTCATATGTTGACCTAATTCTAAGGCAGCAAGGTTATCCTAAATTGAACTCTTATATAATGCCTGTATGACTAAACAGATATTAAAGTGTGACAGCATGGGGCAGGACCCTATAGTTTTTCCTCATAGAGTATTTCTCTGCGGTCTGTTTCTCAAATTAATTTGCTGCATGAGCCAAATATCCACAATTTACTTTTTATACACATTGGTGCCATAATTAGAAAACTAGGGGGTAATCAGAAAAATAGTGGTTTATGCCAATGATAATAAAACACAAGACTTTTTTCTCCTATTATAAAGGTCACTAGATACTAAAGACAGTTTTTCCTCAAAAAAAAAAATCTAATTCAGATAAAGGGGGCAATCAGAAATGAATTTAAGCTACTTTCTAAGGTGACACATATCAGAATAATCCAGATTTGTATATAACACTTTGCCACCAACTGATGTTTAGATGAAGGATTGCCTCTCTGACAGGGTGCACATATTCAGGAGTGAATCTGACATTGTAGAAGAAACACTAATAAAAATATTTTTTCATTTTGAACAAATCTGTAAACTATACCTTTGTTTATAGAAAAATGCTTGTACTAGTCACTGTAATATTCAACTATGAATAAAAATTTGTGGAAATAAATACTTTTGAATAAATAAAGTGCTGTGATAGATCTAAATGAAATTTAAAATTCTGTAGCTACATATTGGCTGAAAAGATTATTTTTTAATGCTTTCTTGAGAAATATTCTGGGGTCTATATTCAAACATGCATCATGACTATTTAAACTAGAGGTTAGCAAACTACAGCCTGCAAAAGTTGGGGTGGGGGACACATTCCCCATAAAATAACAAGACTTATTGAGAAATTACTTTAAAGCTAAAGAATTCAAACAAGGCAGTTTGGGTGTAGGAACAGACTCAGTCATATGTATAACTTTGCTCCTGGTCAGGATGGCATTAAAAAAAAAATCAGTGGGAAAATATTTACAAGATCTGTATGAAAGAGTTTATAAAATACTAGAGGCTCAGTGCACGAAATTCATGCACGGGTAGGGTCCCTAGGCCTGGCCGGCGATCACGGCTGATCGGGGGCCTTCCAGCTGCTGGTGGGCCTTCCTTCATTCCGCACCACCCCCTGGTGATCAGCACACGCCATAGCAACTCCCTGTTGAACCCCCGAGGGGACACTCTGCATATTAGCCTTTTGTATCTATAGATAAGTGAAAAGTAAGATGAAATCTTGCCATTTGCAACCACATGGACGGACCTAAAGGGCATTGTGCTGAGTGAGAGAAGTCAGAGAAAGACAAATATCATATGATTTCACTTATATGTGGAATCCAAACAAGGTAAACAAACAAGCAGACCAGAAACACTCATAGATACAGAGAACATGCTGACGGTTGCCAAAAGGAAGAGGAGTTGGGAGGATGGGTTAAGAAGGTGAAGAGACTAAGAAGTACCAAACTTCTTAAATCAGATGGGTACTAGATTTATT